AGAAGAAAAAAAAAGAAAAAAAAAGAAAGAAAAAGATAAGAAGAGAGAAGACTTAAAAGGAAAAGGAAAACGAAAAGCGAAAGACGACGAAAGAAAGAAGAAAATGAAGAGAAGGAAGGAAGGAAGGAAAGAAGAAGAAAAAAAAAAAGATAATTTTCCGAGCGGAATAACGATCCTGAATTAAAAATGTGTATCGCGAGTTCAACGGCGGTGTCATCGACCTCGAAAAAGAAAGAGGAGAACAGGAACGCGGGAATCAACGTACATATATTTATGCATGTGGAAGTGAGAAATACAGGATCAGGGAACGAGTGGAACGAATAAGAGAGAAAGAGAAAGAGATATAAAAAGAGAGAGAGAGAGAGAGAGAGAGAGAGAGAGAGAAATATGAAAAGGGAAGGTGGTATACATATCCAGGCTCCACTAAGAGAGCGAGAACGAGACAGATAGAGAAATACATATATACTTATATATATATATATATATGTATATATATATATATATGTATATATATATATATATTTATATATACATAAAGAAAAAGAGAGAGAGAGAGAGAGAGAGAGAGGAAGAGAGAAAAAAAAATCAGCCTAATGAACTCAACACATGTGCCTACATTTACCAACGAAGAAACTCAATCCAAACATAGGATAAAGAAAAAAAGGACAAAAAAGCAAGAAAAAATAAAATGAAGTAAAAAGATGTAAATGAAATCCGGAAATGTGTATAAGTCGCCCTTACGTATCTTCTGTCTCTTATTTGTCAACTTTCAATACAAATTTTCACTCTCTGTGGTATTAAAGAAAAAGGCAAAAAACGAAAGAAAAAAAAAAATATATATATATATACATATAAATAATATATATAAATAAACGTGAATGTATCGAACCCTTTTTGGCACGTTTCCTTACAATCCTTTAATAGAAACTTGTGTAACTGTTGCCACTTGTGTCACATTTATAAAAAAAAAAACAAAGTAATAACAGTAATAATAATAATAATAATAATAATAATAATAATAATAATAATAATAACTACAACAATAACAACAATAATAATAATAAATTATTAATAATAAAAAATGATTAATAATAAAAATAATAATAAGAAGAATAATAACAATAACAATAATGATGATAACAATAATAATGATGAATGAAAATAACGATGATTAATAATAACCAAAATAATAATAATAATAATAATAATAATAATAATAATAATAACAATAATAATAACAATAATGATAAATGAAGAAAATGAATAAATAATAAAACTTACCCCTTGCGTTTCTTTCTTATCCTAACAGAAGACGTTGTTGATACATCACTGTCTTCGTCATTCTCCTCAGAATGTGGCTCGTCGTAACGTACAACAGTGCCAGTAGCAGTCGTATTAGTTCGTTTGTTCGCGTCGGCATGACCATTGCTATCATCCTCGTCCTCGGCTTCTGGATTTGCGACGAGCGAGTACATCGACGAAAATATACTCTATCAGTGAATAAAAGTTTGACGTCGGCCGGTATTACTGGACGACATCATCGTACTTCCTACCCTTTTGTTATACCTTAAGAGGGAGTACTACTTCACCCTCTCTCTCTCTCTCTATCTATCTCTCTCTTTTTCTCTAACACACATTCTATTCGTCCTCTTTTTTCCGATTAACCTACTATTCTTTCCTTTCGTATAAATATATGTATGTTATATATATATATATATATATATATATATATATATGTATTATCGATGAAATTCGAATCTGTTCCGAGAGAGACAAAAAGAAAGAAAGAAAGAAAGAAAAAAAGAAAGAAAGAAAGAAAGAAAGGAAAAATGTTCAACGAAAAAATTCCTTCCTCTTTGATCAGGTAACCGCGGCACAATTAGCTTTATCGCTTTATACACACGCACACAATTATATGCCAGCCTATGTATACGCGTACGTACATAAACATAGGCGCGTACCCACACAGGTACGTCGAATTGATACGCCCGTTCGTTCGTTCATCTGTTCACCCACCTCCCACCTACTACTACCACCACCACCATCACCACCTCCACCACCCTTTCACCTAACCCAACCTCCCTTTTGCCAAACGATGCGCGGTTAACTTCACCCTTCTTACCTCTCTAATCCTCGTCCTCCAACTACTCCTACCACCACCACTACCACCACCATCACCGCCACCACCACCACCACCACCACCACCTAACCACCCACCCGTACACTAGCGTGGCTCGAGCTAGACTGGATGATATTTTGAAGCTCACTCTGCTGCCACTACTAGCGACACCTTGCGGCTAACTTTGGTAACACGTAGGATGTATTACGTTCTTATATGTACGTATGTGTGTGTTTACGTATGTGTCTGTTACGTGCGCGTATATGTTTATATGTCGTGTGTATGCTCAAGTGTTTGAGTGTGTGTGTGTGTGTATCTGAATATATATATTATTTCCTCTTCTACGTATTTCCTAACGTTTCAATCGTAAATATCGACATGTTCGTTATTTTATAGATACGTTAAATAACCAAAAATTCTTTTCCTTTCGATTTGCTTTTTCAAAAAAAAAAAGAACACAAAAGAAAAATAAAAAAAAAGAAAAAGAAAATCTAACGATCATTGAAAAATCAATTAATAGACACGTCAAATTTTATTCCAACGTTAATACAAATGAAAACTTCGTATGAATGTATTGTAAATGAAAAATCTATAATAACTAAATGTCGAAAATCTTTATCGAAATTTTTCAATAATTTTTTTCTTTCTTTCTTCTTTTTATTTTTTTTTTTCAAAACAATAATCACATATATTAAAAATCCAATTATATTTAATTGATTCTAATGTGACGCAACCGTTTCTAAAAAAAAAAAAAAAAAAAAAAAAAAAAAAAACAAATCATACGAATTAATAAAAAGAAAAATGAATTACGACGCTTCGACGATCGCCCATTTTTAAATTGTTCACTTGATTGTCCAACGAGAAGAGAAAAAGAAAAATAAACTAAAGAATCATTCCTGTCTTTTTCTTTTCTTTTTTTTTTTTCTCTTAACACGATCGATTCCTCATAGTCGAGGGGTTCTGAGATCATTAGGCACGTACCTGAACAAAGCAGGTCCCTTGGGGTATGTTCACATGGGAAGTAATGGTGCTTCGATCGATGCACTCACTACGCACACATTTGCACACACACACAACAGAGCACAGCTCCCACAGACACAAAGCGCACAGGACAAACAATTGTAATTTACCCGCCAAAAAATAAAAAAAAAAGAAAGAAAGAAAAAACGAAACGAACGTGATCTTACGGCGGGAAAAAAATTAATTTTTTTCTTTTCTTAAATAAACAATAGAAAAAAAAAGACAAAATATATACACACGTGTACGTGCGTGCATGTATATATATATGTACGTATGTTGTGTGTGTGTGTGTGTGTGTGTGTGTAATAAATTTAATGTATAAAATTTAAAAATCTAAAAAAAGAACGAAACGTTTTGTACTTTTCTATGCATTGAAAGTTTAACTTTGTATTAATTTTATGACCGATGACGAGATGAGAAGAAGGTTAAATCCAAGGTGACCGAGAAGAAGGTTAAATCCAAGGTGACCTTGCAATTCTTCATATCGTTCAAATCGACAAAACATATCTATTATATTATTGCTCATATCTTTTGAATTATCTAATAATACGAATTTTTAATCCGCAACGATCGCGATTATTATTATTATTATTATTATTATTATTATTATTATTATTATTATTATTATTATTATTATTATACTACGGAAATCTAAATTATGCACATACGTATACATATATGTATGTATGTATGTGTGTATGTGTGTATGTATGTATGTATGTATGTATATATGTATGTATGTATGTATGTATGTATGTATGTGTGTATGCACGTGTGTGTATGTAAATAATCGATTGTGAGACACAAGAGTCGATAACAGGTTAACGTTAACAACAAGTATATCAGAGTAATCTACGGAATTTATACTTGTGTATTGCTCCAGTTGGAAACCAGCCAAGAACGAACATGACTGTGTGTTCCTTCTTCTCCTTCTTCTTCTTTTAGTTGTTTGAACGTGTGGCCGCGACCTTGAGGTCGACGACGCCTGTTACCAACTACGTGAAGTTAGCTCTAACGAAAATTACAGGTGAATTCTTTAGACCACTTATTGTGGTCTAAATATATATATATATATATATATATATGTATATATATATATATATATACATATATGTATATATATATATATATTAGTTATATATATTCATCGTATAAATGCTTTCACGATGTTCATTGTTTCCTCGATCCTAATCGATATAAACAATGTATCTAATTATGTTATATAATGTACACCGACATTTTCTTCTTTTTTTTTATTCCATTTTATTTTTTTTTTTTTTCTTTTTCTTTTTCTTTTTGTAGAAACAAACTTTTCTTTTATATATCACGTACGACGTACGATTCAAATGCGATAATTAAGTGAAAGAAAAAAATAACAAAATAAGAAAAAAAAAAAGGAAATCAATATCACTTTCAAGCTCCTGATACTTTTTTTTCTTCATCATCGATCTTAAGGATGATTCTCAAAAAAAAAAAAAAAAGAGGAAAGAAAAAGAAAAGAGAAAATAAGAAAAAAGAAAGAAAGAAAGAAAGTAAGAAAAAAATGGAAGAAGAAAGATCAAAATGGTTAATACATGATATAGTAAATGAAACATGTGCCTAAGTATAATAACTCTTTTTTATTATACAATCAGTTGTGTGAAAACAAAAGATTATGCGAATACTACGAATAAAAGTATAGGCCTTAAAAATATCGTTTCACGTGTGTGTGTATATATATGTATATTATGATTGATTTATTATATTATATATATATATATGTCGAGAACACACTCTCGTCTTATATATTAATATATCATTACTATACATTTCTATAATATATCATCTATATACACTTTTCTTTTTATTATAAAGTGTCGTATATAAAAAATACATTTTTCTTGATAAATCGACTAAATGGCCGTCATGACAGAGAATGAGCAGAAAGAAAAAGAAACGGAGAAAGAGAAGAAACAGAAAAAGAGAGTTATTGAGATTACGAATTATTGCTACGATGATATTTCAAAAGTCGTTACTTCGTTAAAATTTTATAAAATAATTTATTTTATGAAGGAAAATATTAAAAAAAAAAAAAAAAGAAAAAAAAATAAGGAAACGTAAGGTCGAAGAAACCTCTTCCTTTTGTGCTGAAATACGAAAGATTTATATGATAAAAAAAAAGAGAGAGAGAGAGAGAGAGAATGCAAAAGAAATTCTCAAAAAAAAAAAAATAAACAAATAATTAAAATCACAAGATCAAAAATAGTCGAATGAAGATAAAAGGATAAAGAAATATATATATATATATATATATATATATATATATATATATATATTATTTGTCTTTCTTTATCATCTTTTCCTCTTTCTCTTCATTTTCTTTTTTACCGATCAATAAATTCATATCTTCGGACATTTTCAACGATGCATCGTCATGTATGCCCGACGATTTCTTATCGTTACGTTTTTTTCCCTTCTCAGAGATTTTTACCTCTCCTATTTCCGTCATCATCGCTTCCTCTTCCTTCTCACATTTTTTTCCCTTACCATCTTCCTTATCCTTCTTCATCTCCTTCTCATTCATTTCCTCCTTCACCTCCTCATCTAATTCCGAAAGATAATCTTCATAATTTATCTCATCGCCATTTTCTATTTTCTTCAATTCTTGCTTCAACATTTCCAAACATTCTCTACGTTCCAACCATTTCTTTGTAATGTCGACATTTTGCTCTTCCGTACTCTCTCCGTCCAATATCATCGTCTTCTCCTTCTCTTCGCATTCGAGTATATATTTTTCGTAACTGTCCACCTTAGAATAAAAAGCAAAAATATATAAGTAAAAAAATAAATGAAGATCTCTTTCATCTTTCGTTTTGTATCATTTTCGAAAAAAAAAATGAGAATAACGAACAAAAAGAAAAAAAGGAAAAGAAAAAAGAAAGAAAAATATTATCTTCTGTTATAATAATAATAATAATAATAATAATAAAAAGAAAAAAAATACTTTTTAGAAAAAAGAAATGAATAAAATCAAATTGTTAATTGTAAGTAAAATATCAAGTAAACATTGCATCTACGATATTCCTCGTGTTATCATATGATGGTAATAGATAAAGTAGTACACGGTCGATAATGTTACCGACTCAACTCACTTTTCTATTATCATCAGAGAAAAAGGACATAACGTAAACGGAATACGAGTGAAATTAAACCACTATAATAAAAAATTGACACGCGTAATTACGTCCTGTTTGAAAAAAAAAAAAGTATTATTATTGTAAAGAAGAAAGGGAAAAAAAAGTTTTCTTTTTTTTTCGAATCAAAAAGAATTAAAATTCTTCTCTTGTCAATAATAAGAAACAAAGTATAAACATTGAATAAAACATTATTTTCATCCGTGGAATTTAATGTTCGCTCGTCATTGTTATACGACGTCAATGGATAAAACAGTAT